TCAAAATGTCTTAAAGACGCCTATTTTCTAAACTAGGCAGATGCCCCTTTTCCAATTATTCTCCATATTCAGTTTTCCTGTCCTTGAATACTGCGCATAACGCCCTTTATTGAATCTTTTCTAGTTTTCTTTTCTCCGATGCTTTACAAAAATGCCACACAGTATGGCAATATGTGAGGTCAGGTAATACGGCCGATTTGAACAGCTGAAGCTTAGCTTCTACACAGGCAGCCCAAGCTCACTACTAGAAAAGCGGACGTGACTCTTAACGTGTTGCGTAACGTTTTATACTAATAAAGGTTTGTATGGGGTGTTATCGGTTTGCCCTAAAAGAGATAAAAAAAATGTCTTGTTTTGAAATAAAATGGGCTTACCTTATTGCTTTGTTGTTTTCTTTGTTGATTCCGAGCGTCTCAGGCCATTTTGAAGCGTTTTCGGCGAGTTAGCGCTATGTTGGTGTTCAACTGCTAAAAGAAAGACAAGGCCGGAAACCTATTTTAGAAGTGTCCGTCGCCCGAAGCGAATAATTCCGCCAAAAAATTACCACCAGTCTCGATTCCTCCAGAAAATCAAAGCAGAGATGTTGCAGTTTCATTTCCATTCACTCGATTCCCAATTCCTCCCACAGATCTTTCACTAGCGATGCTTTTATCTCCAGATCGATCGGCTTTCCAATTTCGAATTTGGCTGCTTGAAACATTTGCGGGCCCATTGGCCGATCGCATAGTATGTTGGGTAACAAAAATAAGCCCGGCGAGGGTAGCCAGCGACCTGCAGTCGACAAACAAACCAGTTAGCTCCCTTGGTCCCCTCGAGAGGTTTTGTCAAGACCGCATTGTTTTGATCACACTTTCCATTCCATGTTGATTGGAATGAAGCTCACAAAGAAGTTGGATCCTGTCGATCTTTGTTTTCAAATCCGTCAACAAAACAGGAATAAGTGCAGGATCTTAGACATCTTAACGAACGTGACTTCTAACCTCAGTGATTTGATACCTTTTTCTGAGTGACGAAAACGGCGAAAATAGTGAAACGGGAAAAGACGAACAACACAAAAAAGTGATAATAGGCAAAACTTGACAGGCTTCACTTCCTTTGACACTTGACTACAAAGGCGGCATACACTTAAGAACCATTTTTTTTCAGTCAACGCTAATGAATTTTTAGTCAAGATAAAACTAAATTCCCGTATCAAGCTATTTAATCGTTACGATTCCCGAATCCCATCCCCATAAAAATAGGAAATCCCGCTCTCGCTGGTTGTTAAAATTCCCGCATCCCGCCTCTGTTTTCAGCTCATATCCCGAATATCACCACGAAAAATAGCCAAATCCCGCATCCCGCCAAACCTATTGTGGACCATCTGTAAAAGATAGGACAAATTCGTCAAATAATCGTTGAAAATGTCATTTTGGGTACATTAGGTGCTCATCAAAAGAGCTTATGTTGTCACAAGGTTATTAAAAATTGATGACCTCCGAAAATAATTACACTGATGAACATTTAAGGAATGGCACAACAAGAAACTTAATGTCATTCGCTGCTCATCAGTCAGCGATGACTTCTTGTAAAATTAAAAGGCCTCATTTTTGTGTGCCTTTGTAGGCACCCAAGGAGCAATTATCTGAGACATAGTCGATCTAATCCCGAATAATGATCTTTCGGCTTCACCATCAACTTCTCGAGGTGAATCAAAGGAGAAGCATATTTCTGAAAACATGTGTTGTATCTCCACTTTTAACCCGTTAAATCCCAGAGGTGATCAACACCCAACTTCTCGTTTTGAAAAATATATATATTTAACAATTATTCCACAAGCGCGCGTTGGATATGAGATGATAGATAACCAACGAGGCGCGTATCCAACAAGCGCTCGTGGAATAATTGTTTTATTATAAAAAAAAAACGCCCCCAAGATATTAGACAAATCTTCTCGACTTTATTTTGTAAGAAGAAACCGGATGTTACAATGTACAGTGTTAGATTATGGTATATTGGCTCATATACCACAATGGCTAAGCCAATTGTTACGAGGATCGAATTATTTTTACTGAATCTGTCACGCAATCCCAGACTTTTCTAGAATTATCTATAATCTGTATCATTCCAGAAACTTCTTTCATGTGACTCAGCAGTTTCCAAAAATAGTACAACTTGTAATACGCTATAAATAGTAATAGAACATTCTAGATAACTAAAGTAAATGTATAAAAGCTGGCTTGTGAGAAGTACAAAGGAGATTTGCCCGAGGGCTTACCCTCGTGGCTTGCTGACTGAAGTTGTGGAAGCTATGATGTGACGAGGCTATGACCTTTTGACCTTGCGATATCCGGAGAGAAGAAAGAGATGAAAAAGACGATAGTCGAGAGAGGAAGAAGATAGAGAATACAGAGTTTACTATGGAGTCCTCCGGAAGAGTTTGTGTACAAGGAAAGAATGCGATAAATCAAGAAAGCCAAGCGCTGTGGTCTTCAGTCGGCGGATGTTGGAATTGGAAGTTGATCAAGACGACGAACACTTACACGGCATGAAGGATTGTAAGCCTGCTTTATGAACTGCTTAACTTAATCTTTAACCTAAGTAAATTAGACAATGTAAAACTAATTAAATAATAGTTAAAATGGGTAACTGCTTGTTGTTACATTTTTGTTGCGTGCCATATATCGTACTCGGGAGTCTATTTTCATATATGCTTTGTTAGCGGACATTTGTTGGTCATTCGTGCACGTAACA